AAACCAACACAGTCAAAGACTTGGGAGTGTCTATTGCAATCCCTGAGCACAGCAATGGTCACCATCAGCCAGTCTGTGCAAGAAGCTGGCCAGCAAGATAGGAAGGCTGTACTGTAAGAGAAGCAGGAGAACCCCCAGGAAGGCTTTGGAGTCAAAACAGAGTCCCTTGAGATTTCAGAGAGCACTGTGTGAGTGTTGGCTGCTTTTCCACCAACGTGGGATTTCTGCCTTCTTAAAGTCTGTGTGTGCAGGAAATTCCTGTGGTTTCTGCACTTAGTTTGCACAGGATTCCTGAAAAACTGAAGTCCTGAGAAAGCCCCACTTAGATGGTTTTCTAAGAGGAAAAGCCTAAGCAGTAGGAATGTGCAACACACCTTCAAAAGGGAGTTGGACACTGGTTGCATGGAAGTTGCAGCCTGTAGGTTGTAGAGCTGGAAGCAACCATCCCTGCCAGCCCAGCTACCTCTACTGAGGTAGAACTCAGTAATTAGAGCCATTTGTGACAGACTTATACCCCTTTGGGAAACAGCATAATGCAGAGAATCATAAAAAAACCTCTTTGCTCCATTCAGTTATGGCTGTTTTGTATTACAGGGTATGCTACAGCTCTTGGAAAATGAGTATTTACAGGTACCTTATTGTAGCCTTGGCGTGGAGAGAAGATTCAGCTTTTCCTAATGCTAGTATAGAAACATGCTGGGTATGGGACTATCTAGGCAATGCCATAATCTTCAAAAGCCAACCCTCTGCCTCAATCTATTAAAGCAAGCAAAACTTAGAGCAACATATGAAGTACTTCAGTGTGATCTGGAGACAGAGCAACATGCCTACCATCAACCACCCCTCGCGTTATTACAGTCTGAAGAATCCAGTCTTCTACTTCACTTGATGAAATTCTGGTGCAGCAAGAAATGTTGGGTTGTTTTCTTTTAATATGCTCCCTACTCCTACTAATCTGCTTAAAATGCAGATATAATTTACCAACTTTTGTGAGTTTATAGAATTTGACCCCACACACAACAGTACTGAATTCAGAATAGTCTCTTATTAAAAACTTTAAAATAGTGATACATAAGTTAGAGGCAGTGAAGTGTTCAGTCATAAAGCAGCACTGGGCAACAGAAGCTGGTTTTGGAGCTCTAGGACTGAAATAGTGGGATTTGAGCCTCCTTCCAGTGACTGGTATCAAATTGCAAATGACTGACAGTGTAAGCAAGAGTAGTACCATTAGCTGTTGGGACACAGAGCAATGGCAGCTAATTTTTTCATGACTGTCCTTTGACAGCAACTTTCACTCTTAAACAATGTTTGCTTGTCTCAATCTACCAGGGTACTTCATGTTTTCCTAGCTGTGGTAGAAGTGAAAGTATGCTAAATGTTGCTTTTATTCTGTAGCTAAGCAGGAAAAAGAAGCAGATTAAAACATGTCATGGCCTCACAGAGATGTATTTTATATGCATTCCTACAGTGTAAACAGCCTTTTTTTTTTTTTTATTCCCCTCCAGGAACTGCTCTAGCCTGTTCTTGAAAATGCACTCATTTCCCTCTTAAGCTATTTTAGTTCCCCAACTGTAAAGTTTATCATGAGGATGTGATGTTCCCACCTAGAGGAGCATAGGTATGAATGTAAATATATTGTATTAGTCTGTAATTCTTTCAGAATGTCTTTTTTAATGAGGCACCTGTTTAAATTGAGAAGTGAAAACCTGTAGTGCAATATTTCCTCTGTGAATAATCTGTAGGGTTAGTGGGACACATTACAATGAATAACTGACAATAGTGGGTTTTCCAGCAATCCAGTTTAATTGTTTCTTCATATGTCTGTTTTTATACATCAAATAAGCTTACAAAAAAAAAAAAAAAAAAAAAAAAAAAGGTACAATTCAAGAAAATACCCAAAGCTATTACAGTTTTGGCTTCCTCTTTGTTGATGTACAATTATGTACAAGACTGTCTTATTTGCAATATCCAATGAAGATTAAATTATGTATTTACAATATCAGCTGGTGCCTTTCACTATGCAATTGAAGTGTCCTCTTTTTGCTGTTCACATTCATTCTAGCAAGAGCACACTCTTAGCTGCCATTTATAGGTAGAGTTTAGAGGTGGACTGAAACAAGACGAGATTCTCACTACTGACCACAAACACACCTCTGAAATCCCATTTTCAGGCATAACAGAAGAAAGATTCCAGCACCTAGTGCACTGATATAACCATTATATTTTCAGTCAACATAATACATTGAGAATAACGTTCCCACTAGTATCAGAGGGAGAAATGTGTGAGCTGGAGACAGTATATACTTTAAGTTGCAGCAGACAAAAGGTATAATTCTGGTGCTAAAGAAGTACCTTACTTATCCTGTCAGAGACCTTCAAAGCAAATGAAGACACAAAGTATGCTTCTAAATGTATGTAGATCTTGTACAGTTCTTATACAAAAGATTAAGTTAAGAGGGCAAAATCCCCAGAATTTTAACATAATACACAAACTGTTTCATAGAACCACAGAATAACTTGAATTGAAAAGGACTTTTGGAGATCATCTATTCCAAATCGTTCGAAGCAGGACCAACTTCAAAATTAGAGTCAGCTTTCAACTTAGAACAGATTGTTCAGGGCTGTGTCCTGAAGAAGTTAATGTCTCCAAGGATGGAGACTGCACAACCACTGGGCACCTGTTCCCATGTTTGACCACCCTTATTGTAAAAAATTTTAACACCTGACCATGACTTCTACCTTGAATGTATAATATAGGGTCAATCACTGAATCAATCACAGTCCTTCTATCTGTAACAGTTTTAGAGCATCCCTAAACTAAATGTAACAAGAGTTACATTTCAGCTTGCAGGAAGAAGAAATTTACTTTTCCAAGCTTCTTCTCATGTCTAGTGAGTAGGATACCACTGCTTGAAATATCTTCATAGCTTATATCTCAGTGCAAGATATGTACAGTCCATTGACAACAAGAAATCCATGCCACCTTTGTACTTCTTTCATCTGTGATAAATCCAATATTTTGCACGCTAAATAGCAGTTGCAGAACAGCATGTTTATGAGAGCATGACTAGATGCAAATTACTCACACAAAATGCGTGAGGGTTGCACCTTAGAATTCTCTCAGTAAAGACAAAGACTGGTTGGGGAGCAAAATTAATGACTCTATTATAACTGCATATACCCGAGTTTTTGGAATTACTCATTTCCCATTGCCTGCTAGCTCTTTTGATCATCAGACTTGCTTTTTTTTTCCCACATTGAAAGATGCAAAGTAGAGCTTCCTCCAGTAAGAAAAGCTACTCCTAGCTGAAAACACTTTTCTAATGTCTATATTGTCATGACCCGGGTAAGAGCAACCCAGGGAGATTTAGATTGGACCTCCTTGCTTTCTAAACTCCTTCTAAGAGAGGAGTCTAGATGTTGTTGCATCCAATATTAGTCTCAGACCTGGCCCTTTTAGGGAGAGCGATGAAAATGTTACTGTCCAAGGAAATGCTCAACCATCAGATACCCCTTTCTCAGATCAAGATGAAACAGCACTCAAGGTCTGTATTTGAACATTAGCTTTAATTGGAACTATAGAAGAAATAACTCCTAAAAGCTGATACGTCAATTTTATATGCTCAGGCTGCACAATCATAAAGGCTGATCATTTTCATCACAGAAGTCGAAATACATTTGTGTACAAGCTCCAGAACCTGAGAAAAAAATCGGTTAGGCCTTGTGTTACTAAATGATTTAGGAAGGAAGAGAAGGAGAGAGAGAGAGACTGGGAGGAAAAAAAAAAAAAAGTTTGAGAAAGAGATGACAGAAAATCACCAGTCCTGGATCCAGCGTTGGGCCAGCCAACAGGGGAGGGTTGGTGTCAGTGAAGCTCCCAAAGCCCACCATCACAGCTCCTCCTGTTATAGGCATGTTTCACTTAGGCAATTGTTGAGCAACAATGAGCAAGTGTGGTTGAGACATATCATGATTGAGCAACTGGAGTGGACCTCCATCTCCTCTGTTCCTGCATCATTATCTCTATCTTCATTCCCTCTATAGCTTTCTCCATATGTAGGCCATTAATTCCATATATGTCAGCCAGTCCTTCTTTTTGTTCCAGAGCTTACAATGATGCTTCGACACCACTTCCTGCAATAGGTCCTGAGGGCTGGTCCTTCACATATATAAAGGTAGCCACTCACCCATTCTTCCCTTCTCCACAAAACATTACATGATTATCTAGAGGCCATGTACCCTTTGTTTCCCTGGCCCTGGTAAATGAAGTAAACAGACAAACTGGAGTCAGCTCAGTCTTCATATTCAGCCTTAAAATCCACCTCTGAAACATCTTATCCCACAACGAAAAGAACACTTACAGTCAGATATTACAAAGTACTATGTCCAGCCTAGAAAACCTTGTGGTAACACTGTCCTCTTACATAATACATATTTTATAACAGTAACAGTCATGACTGGAATACAGTACTGCTGATATGTGCATCTATATTGGTCATAACTGTTGAGCAAGGTATGTGCACCCTGATAATTGGAGCTACTTCCCTCATTTATGTCTTCAGAGAAAAACAGCAAAAAACCCTGTTAATTCTGGGCATGAACACAAGCCTTACTGTATCTACAGAGACAAGGAATACCAAGAGAAACACACACTGAGAGGCTGACGTGCTGATTGCATGGCAGGTCACACTGCATTTAACAGAAAGAAAAATAAGGCTTTCCCTGCATAATCCTCTTATAAGATCCAGACTTCAGTAGGGCAAATGGTGTTCAAAATACATTTTCTCCTTGTAATACAGATGCACTGAGTAGCTCCTACCACCAATGTGACAGAGGTGCAGGGAGGGACAGTTAAAATCACATTTTAAAATTGGTTTCTGATTGCCACAGAAACCATGACAGCTGAATGGAGAGAGATGTTCCATAGGCATTTCAGCAGAATTACAAGATATGGTATGATGTTGAGCTTCAATTCTCTTCCCTGTTTTGGGTTTGTTTTCTCAATACTTGTTTGAAAAACCACAGACTGTTCTCAGACTATAGCAACAAATTATCTCTTTGAAGGTCTTCCTCATTTCCTGGCTACGAAAGGCATAGATCAAGGGATCAATCACTGAGTTGCACATAATGAGAATGAGGTACATGTTGAAGTGAGACATGAAGCAAACACAGTAGAGGTTTTGGGGGCAGGAGATCATCAGGATGAGATGGAGGAAGAATGGAGCCCAGCAAACAATGAAGATACCAAGCAGCATAGTCAGAGTGATGGCTCCTTTCATGCTGGTTCTTTGACGGACAGAGTTGTACCCAGGCAAAGCAGCTATTTTCTTGACATGAGTACGAGCCAGGAGGAACATATGGATGTACAGGGAGATCATGAGGAACAACATGGTAAAAAACATAGTGATTAGACAAATGATCACGTAAGTTGATTCATAATAAAGAATGAAGATAATGCCACAGCCTGTGCAGAAGGTCCAGATGCATGCAATAATAAGCCCTGATCTTTTCACTGTCATGATGTTGTGATAACGCAGGGCATAGAAGATAGTAATATACCTGTCCACAGCTATAGCCAGCAAGCTGCACATGGAAGCTACCACAGATATGCAAATCATTGAATCAAAGACATTGTCTATGTGACGGACAAAGGCATCTTCCATAATTATGTGCCTATTGTTTATTAAGTATATCGTTATTGTCTCCCAAGCATTAGAAACACTAACCAGCATGTCAGCCACTGCTAAACTGCAAACAAAAAAATACATGGGTGAATGCAAGTTCTTGTTCTTAACTATTGCACATATAACTAAGATATTTTCAAGGAGGCTTACAATGCCCAGAGTTAGGAACACCTCAGCTGCAATGACCACTTGCTCACATGGTGATGACTTGCTCTTGACAGTTGGCACAGTAAAGTTGTTGCCAAAGGCACTCAGGTTTAGTTCAGAAACATACAGTTGAGAGGATGTGTTCATTTCTGGGAGAAAACACGTTCTGTTCTTTCTGAGGGACTTGCCAAGGAGTGCAGCAAATGCATTTTCCAAAAGGCAAAAGACCCTGCCAAAAAAAATATAGCGTGACGAGAACAGGCAGAAGTTGACAAAACAAATATCACCCTTTTCTGTTTAATTTGGCTTGCACACATGCTGCCTTTTTCACACCATGTTCCTCTACTGACTCTAAATTAACCTCCAGTTGGCTCAGAGCTTTTCCACTCATCCTTACTGGGAAATTAAAACCACAAACTAATGAAGAGATTCGTGTGCTCTTCAGTCAGTTTTGTTTATTCTATTTGCTTGCCTAGAAGGGAGCACAATGTCCTGGAAATTCTACTGAACACAAAACAACAGTGTTCAGAGTCTCAATTCTCAGAGCCCAGAAATGCAGAAGAATACAGTATTAGGTTC